AAAATTGAGAATGCAAATATTAATATTACATCGGAGGTCCCTCAACTGTGTTTCATTACAAGCTCCTTCGACTTTGGAAATTAAACACTTTGTAATATGCTAAACACTGCAATCCACGTCTTGAGCGCAAAAAAAGTATATTCATAATGTCTGATTGCTTTGTCAATACTCATTTTAGATTACGTGCCTCAAAGAGTGTGATTGCATTTGTTCGATCAAAATAGTTATTACCCTGGTGCGCATGTGCAAGAATATGCATCAACAAGGTCGTTACACTGTCCTCCATTATTGCAGGGAGAGCTGGCGCATTTTCCTGGACATCCAAATAGCCCCCAACGTAGGGCGATCCTATTAGCCCAAGTAGTTGGCCTTAGTATAACTTCCACAGCAATAAATGGGGTTTCAAGGTGGTTCCACATTACTGTCATTCCGTTTGTGTTTCCCTTAAACACCTAAAGTGTGAGAGTTAAGAAAAAACTATGCCTGTTTCAGCTATCACAGATTATCACCAGTTATCTCAGTAATAAAAGCGATTGTAAAACGTGCCTCTGATATTCTGTGATCTACTGAAAGTGCATCATTTCGTGGACAAAGCACCATAACGTCACAGAAAATACAGGGTGGTCCAAAAAAGTGAACCCCTGCAACTGGCCATATTAACCTTATTAATTCTTTTTTATTTTCGCATGTTGTAGAGGAAGGTCTAATATTTATGTTGGTACCATACATTTTTCTTAGTCTTGAAATTTGCAGAAATTATAAGCCCTAACCAAACATTACTGAAAATGGACAAGTTGTGATTTTCAATATCCGCGATTCTTCAACCCTTTAACACCTTTCCCTGAGAATCTTTTAAGCTTCAGTCTTAAAGAACTAATATTTTCTGACTTTGTTAAATTTCAAATCCTGCACATTATGGCTTAAAACTAGCATCGCACATTTGTTAGTTGCAAAGTTATTGTGATCCAAAGAGATGTGCTAAGCTTCCACAGACGAAAACATTTTCCAGTGAAATCATGAACATACCCCTATATGATCTTGGAATGTCAATAACTTCATAAATCATGGACCAATTCTAATGATACGAGGGGTGATCCAAAAGTGTCCTAACCACTAGACGATCACGGCTGTTCTGGCAGGCAAACTTCAATAGGTACTTGCAATTTTAATGCTGTATGATCCAATGCCTTGAGGATTGCATCATTTCACGGAGACACAAACACTGAAATTAAAACGTTGGCCATGTAGGGTATATAATATATATATAATATAATATATAATATGCACCGAGACACAAAAACTGAAATTAAAATGTTGGCCATGCCGTGACCAGGATTCGAACCTGGGTTACTACGGCCACAACGTAGGGTCCTAACCACTAGACGATCACGGCTGTTCTGGCAGGCAAACTTCAATAGGTACTTGCAATTTTAATGCTGTATGATCCAATGCCTTGAGGGATGCATAATTTCACAGAGACACAAAAACTGAAATTAAAACGTTGGCCATGTAGGGTATATAATATATATATAATATAATATATAATATGCACCGAGACACAAAAACTGAAATTAAAATGTTGGCCATGCCGTGACCAGGATTCGAACCTGGGTTACTACGGCCACAACGTAGGGTCATAACCACTAGAAGATCACGGCTGTTCTGGCAGGCAAACTTCAATAGGTACTGACAATTTTAATGCTGTATGATCCAATGCCTTGAGGGATGCATAATTTCACGGAGACACAAAAACTGAAATTAAAACGTTGGCCATGTAGGGTATATAATATATATATAATATAATATATAATATGCACCGAGACACAAAAACTGAAATTAAAATGTTGGCCATGCCGTGACCAGGATTCGAACCTGGGTTACTACGGCCACAACGTAGGGTCCTAACCACTAGACGATCACGGCTGTTCTGGCAGGCAAACTTCAGTAGGTACCGACAATTTTAATGCTGTATGATCCAATGCCTTAAGGGATGCATAATTTCACGGAGACACAAAAACTGAAATTAAAATGTTGGCAATGCCGTGACCAGGATTCGAACCTGGGTTACTACGGCCACAACGTAGGGTCCTAACCACTAGACGATCACGGCTGTTCTGGCAGGCAAACTTCAATGGGTACTTGCAATTTTAATGCTGTATGATCCAATGCCTTGAGGGATGCATAATTTCACGGAGACACAAAAACTGAAATTAAAACGTTGGCCATGTAGGGTATATAATATATATATATATAATATATACTATGCACCGAGACACAAAAACTGAAATTAAAATGTTGGCCATGCCGTGACCAGGATTCGAACCTGGGTTACTACGGCCACAACGTAGGGTCCTAACCACTAGACGATCACGGCTGTTCTGGCAGGCAAACTTCAATAGGTACTTGCAATTTTAATAATGTATGATCCAATGCCTTGAGGGATGCATAATTTCACGGAGACACAAAAACTGAAATTAAAACGTTGGCCATGTAGGGTATATGATATATATATAATATAATATATAATATGCACCGAGACACAAAAACCGAAATTAAAATGTTGGCCATGCCGTGACCAGGATTCGAACCTGGGTTACTACGGCCACAACGTAGGGTCCTAACCACTAGACGATCACGGCTGTTCTGGCAGGCAAACTTCAATAGGTACTTGCAATTTTAATGCTGTATGATCCAATGCCTTGAGGGATGCATAATTTCACGGAGACACAAAAACAGAAATTAAAACGTTGGCCATGTAGGGTATATAATATATATATAATATAATATATAATATGCACCGAGACACAAAAACTGAAATTAAAATGTTGGCCATGCCGTGACCAGGATTCGAACCTGGGTTACTACGGCCACAACGTAGGGTCCTAACCACTAGACGATCACGGCTGTTCTGGCAGGCAAACTTCAATAGGTACTTGCAATTTTAATGCTGTATGATCCAATGCCTTGAGGGATGAATAATATCAGCCGAGACACAAAAACTGAAATTGAAATGTTGCCCATGCCGTGACCAGGATTCGAACCTGGCCAGCTTGAATCCGAGATTGCATTTTAAATGTTTTTAAACGTTACGTACAGGATGGACCAAAAAAACAATGCCCACGTTTAAGGATGAATATCATATTATGATATAACGTTAAACCATGCTATGTATTGTATATCATTTTAAAGATAAATCATAAGAGGCTAACATTGACACCAGATTTGTCGTGAGCGACCAAAACATTATTCACTTTGGATTTCCACATTGTGGAAAATGGAGGGAAATTTGAACTTTTGTACCTTCAAAAGAGGTACATTTATACAAGTATAGTGCAATTCAGCAACTTATATATTTTTTATTGAATATCAATTGTGTATTGATCTTAAATAAATTTATGATGATTCAGTCAAGCATATTGAATGCAGCTGTGACAGCAATATGGAGGGATATTTGGGAATATCATTTTTGATTTTTACGGCTCTCTTGGTGTCAATTTTAGTTTCTAACTCCACGAGAAAACAAGGGTTTTTCAATTTGATGGTTCATTTTGTTAGGAAATTATTTATCTTAAAAATGATATATAATACATGGCATGGTTTAACATATATCATATGAATCATTCATCGTTAAACTTGGGTATTGTTTTTTGGCCAATCCTGTATATATAAAGGATTCGAGGGAATAAAATCATTGAGAGTGCAACATGTACTCCACGATCAGTTTGCATTTAAAAGAAATATAGAATATTTGTTTTAACCCATGGATATTTATTTCAATCGATACATGTATTATAAACCAATAGGTCAAAACAATTACGTGTACGTTTTTTTACGTGTAAGTATCATTGTATAGTACATATTTATTTTGATCACATGGTACTGAATCGGCCACACGATTTCTAACAATGATATGGTAAAATTCATTATATACAATGGAGTGATAATATTTCCCCACTGATTCCTAATTTTCAAAGTTATTTTAATTTTTTTTAACAATCCGGACGGTGAATTTTCATAAACATTATTTTAAACACTTTTGTATTCTCATAGAATCATCACAATTTTCAAGAAAATCTAAATTGTGCAATTTTTTAAAATAACAAAAAATCCCATTGAGTACAATGTTAAATTAAAACATTTTTCAGAACTAACTAAACGGTTAATCTTTCTAATCTTCAAATATTTTGATAAACATCGGTACATCTTTCACCTTGATTTTTTCAAGAAAATCTGAATTCTAGAAAAAGTCGGTCGACATTAAAATGCCTTAAGGGATAAAACCTATATGATTACAATCGGAAAACTAACCGATCATCCCTAAAACATCATTGCATTTTACGATAATCATTTGGTCTAGTAATCAACTTATATATTATATATATCTGATGAAAAGATGTTATTGAAATAATTCAAGGGGCAGAACTAAAATTGTCATTCTACACTATTTTAAGTCACAACCTTCTAGAGTGGCATTTGACTTTCACTCAATTAAACATCCGATTTACTGAGAAAGTCGGAACTTAAAGCCTGGCTAAAAATACCCGTCGTGATCTGCAAAGTCAAGATGATGCGGAAGTAAATCTCAGAATTGCAATAATTTTATTAAAGAATTTAATTCCATTCCACACATTATCATTGAAAATATATGATTTGACCAGATTAGTTTTAAATTGAAGTATCAAACATGTATTTATAATTTATTTACAAGGACTTAATGTCTGTTCATAATAATACTAGTTGTAATAAGAGACTGGGAAAGCTGGAATTCTGCAAGTTTGAAAAAGTCCGGACTTTGGACCAATTCAATTATCTTCATTTGCAGAGACACAGGGACAATTTATATATCAGCCTGAAAAGATGTCAGACCCTTTTCTCAGAATCTGGGATGTAAACATTTCAAGTAGCCTTGGAACTATTACCTTCAAAAATCCATATAAATAGGCACTGCCATTAGATGGACCAGTGACATAGTTTAGTACTGCAGTAGAAGGTGCATCAACACGTTTGAAACCACGCGGCAAGAGGACAAGATTTGTATCAACAATTTCAGCAGATTGTTTTTGGTAAGTTCCTAAATCGTTAATTTTCATTTCGGCTAACTATTGAGAATTGCAGTTCTCATTTTTGAGAGTTGGGATTATTTCTATTATACAATTAGCTTGAGCAATACAAATGAAACTTTTAAAATAATTTTAATTGCCTTCATCTAAGATTCTGAGGTCGTTATTTAACCTTATGTTACTTAGCATTTTCAAATCTACTAAAAATTGGGAACATACCATATAAGGCCTTTAATTGTATGATTTGTTACAGAGACACCAATTGCAATGAATCCAACTGTGTTGTTAGCAGCTGCTTTTTTGATAACCTTATATGGGCATTCAGAAGCTGGCGTAATAAAAGGCGATGACGTCAACTCAAGCATATCTAAGAGAGCAAAACGTTCAGTTTTAAGCATTGTAAGTTGCACTCCTTTGAAATGCTTCCATTGTTAAAATTGATCATGTATTAGTACTTTTTCCAATGTGATTTGAGCAGATTTGATAATATTTTGATAATAAATGGATTGTATATGATGAACAAAAGTGTCTGAAAAATATGTATTTTAAAAGAGTGTCGTAACAATTATGACCTGAGTTTTTTCAAATAACTTTTTGAATGAAAACGTAGGCTAATGTAGGCCTGCTCAATTCAGAAATATATTGCAGCGTTTCAAATAAATGTGATCAGTGGTTCAGAGATTGTGTACATGGCATAACAAAATATTGCTTACTGGTCAGAAACTTACAATACAAAATTTTAATGTTTTTGATTGAGACGTTATCCATATTTTTTCAACTAATTATAATCAGCGACGAAAATGAGACGTGGTTGGCGTTATTCATAGACCAATATTATAAGATACAAGTTCAACTTTATATTAAGGTATATACTAGTATCTTCCTAAAGGTGACCTGCTTTCACCCGGCTGATCTGAAGGGAGGGGTTTACCTTTTTTAAACAGCCTTTTCCTTCCTCTTCTATTATTATATAGGTTATTCTCCATCTTAGACTATGGGATAGTAAAACTGGCTACTTTTATCGTTTCAGAGAGCACATCATACAAATTGTCGGACTGTTGTTGGACCAGCGAGACTTGCTGAAGGACAATCGTTACAGAACCTGGACAGACACCACGTGAATTGTGATGGCACAGACGAGTTTCTTGTATCTTGGAGACTACAGAGACAGGACCCAAACAAGTACAACTACCAGTCGATGGTCTATAAGTGTTGCCAAATAAGCTTCGATGTCCCTAACTTTTAAATGAATTAAACATTTGGATTGTTGTCTAATAATGAATTCAACAGTGTAATAAAAAAACATTTATGATTCTACAAAAAAGCATTCATTCATATAGTATTCATATACGTTGGCCATGTAGGGTATATAATATATATAATATAATATATAATATGCACCGAGACACAAAAACTGAAATTAAAATGTTGGCCATGCCGTGACCAGGATTCGAACCTGGGTTACTACGGCCACAACGTAGGGTCCTAACCACTAGACGATCACGGCTGTTCTGGCAGGCAAACTTCAATAGGTCCTTGCAATTTTAATGCTGTATGATCCAATGCCTTGAGGGATGCATAATTTCACGGAGACACAAAAACTGAAATTAAAACGTTGGCCATGTAGGGTATATAATATATATATAATATAATATATAATATGCACCGAGACACAAAAACTGAAATTAAAATGTTGGCCATGCCGTGACCAGGATTCGAACCTGGGTTACTACGGCCACAACGTAGGGTCCTAACCACTAGACGATCACGGCTGTTCTGGCAGGCAAACTTCAATAGATACTTGCAATTTTAATGCTGTATGATCCAATGCCTTGAGGGATGAATAATATCAGCCGAGACACAAAAACTGAAATTGAAATGTTGCCCATGCCGTGACCAGGATTCGAACCTGGCCAGCTTGAATCCGAGATTGCATTTTAAATGTTTTTAAACGTTACATACAGGATGGACCAAAAAAACAATGCCCACGTTTAAGGATGAATATCATATAATGATATAACGTTAAACCATGCTATGTATTGTATATAATTTTAAAGATAAATCATAAGAGGCCAATATTGACACCAGATTTGTCGTGAGCGACCAAAAAATTATTCACTTTGGATTTCCAAATTGTGGAAAATGGAGGGAAATTTGAACTTTTGTACCTTCAAAAGAGGTACATTTATACAAGTATAGTGCAATTCAGCAACTTATTTATTTTTTATTGAATACCAATTGTGTATTGCTCTTAAATAAATTTATGATGATTCAGTCAAGCATATTTAATGCAGCTGTGACAGCAATATGGAGGGATATTTGGAAATATCATTTTTGATTTTTGGTCGCTCACGGCTCTCTTGGTGTCAATTTTAGTCTCCAACTCCACGAGAAAACAAGTGTTTTTCAATTTGATGGTGTCATTTTGTTAGGAAATTATTTATCTTAAAAATGATATATAATCACAGGCTGGTATTGAAAAAATTGTCCGCTGTGACGGAGCGTGCTATTTTGCATAGAAACACTAGGAAATCCACACAATTTATTTTTTACTCATATGTTTTGCTATATCAAAGAAAATTAATCCATACAATGAATATATCAGTTGCGGGTAACTTTAACTTCTGTTTGAAGTCCAACAACGCTAAGAGTAAAAGCTATTGAAAACGGCGTCGGAGTATCATACTCCAAAATGTACCATTTCTTTTATTTCTTTTTAATGGTACAATATAGCGACACGATAATATTTACATATGTTTTCAGCATAACTCTGAAGGTATTAATGAGATCTTTATGTATTGGGTATTTTTAATTTTTTTATAAAAAATAATGTTTAAATTTTTTGTCCGCTGTGACGGAGCAGTTTCAAATCTGATATACGTTAATAACTACACGTTAGAGGAGGGAGCGTGTCAAATCTCTTTCGTAAAGTATTCTAAAAAATAAAACGGAATAAAAGTACACAATTCAAATTCTGAGATCATAATACGACCACTCTTTAAGCTTCTTTTCTCAGTTTGTACTAACTGTAATCCAAGTTATAGGGTATTTGCCTTTCGTTGTGCCTACTGTGGATCCATCACCTGACAATGGTCATTCTTTATGATAACTTATATGCAGTAATATTATGTGGTGAAAAGGTTATACATCTGTCGGAATGCAGGATGTCTGTGCGCTATTTACACTACACGTGACATTCCAAGACGTCTTGGCGAAAACGTATTAATTAGAAATATTATGTTGAGTTTACACCATGTTGATTCATGTGGATAACAGTACAAACATCCGAAAAATGCTAAGAGTGGTCGTTTTTATATCTCAGATTTACATTACCCCAGATCTCCCAGAGGCTACTTGTCATAATTTAGGAAAGTGATTTGTGACGTTCTCTCTTCTTAGGGTACTTTTAAAAAGTATAATTTGAATCGTAAATGCTTAACGTAGTTCACAGTTAAAACTGCTCCGTCACAGCGGACAAAAAATGTAAACACTATTTTTTATGATAAATATTAAAAATACCCAATACATCAAGATACCATTAATACCTTCAGAGTTATGCTGAAAACATATGTAAATATTATCGTGTCACCATATTGTACAATTAAAAAGAAATAAAGGAAATGGTACATTTTGGAGTATGATACCCCGGCGCCGTTTCCAATAGCTTTTACTCTCAGCGTTTTTGGACTTCAAACAAAAGTTGAAGTTACCCGCAAATGATATACCCATTGCATGGAGTAAGAAACTTTCTTTGGTATAGCGAAACATATGAGTAAAAAATAAATTGTTTGGGTTTCTTAGTGTTTCTATGCAAAATAGCACGCTCCGTCACAGCGGACAGATTTTTCGATACCAGCCTGTGATAATACATGGCATGGTCTAACATATATCATATGAATCATTCATCGTTAAACTTGGGTATTGGTTTTTTGGCCAACCCTGTATAAAGGCCTCGAGGGAATAAAATCATTGAGAGTGCAACATGTACTCCACGATCAGTTTGCATTTAAAAGAAATATAGAATATTTGTTTTAACCCATGGACATTTATTTCAATCAATGAATGTATTATAAACCAATAGGTTAACACAATTACGTTATTTTACGTGTAAGTATCATTGTATAATACACATTTATTTTGATCACATTGTACTGAATCGGCCAATCAAATCACACGATTTCGAGCAATGATATGGTAAAATTCATTATATACAATAGAATGATAATATTTCCCCACTGATTCCTTATATTAAAAGTTATTTTAATTCTTTTCACATTCCTGACGGTGAATTTTCATATATTTTATTAAACACTTTTTTATTCTCATAGAATAATCACAATTTTCAAGAAAATCCAAATTGTGCAATTTTTTAAAATAACAAAGAATTTCCCATTGAGAGCAATGTTAAATCAAAACATTTTTCAGAAATAACTAAACGGTTAATCTATCTAATTTTCAAATATTTTGATAAACATCAGTACATTTTTCTCCTTGATTTTTTCAAGAAAATCTGAATTGTAGAAAAAGTCGGTCAACATTAAAATGCCTTTAGGGATAAATAATATCACCGATACACAAAAACTGACATTAAAATGTTGACCATGCCGTGACCAGGATCGGAACCTGTGTTACCATGGATGGCCACAGCGTGGGGTTCTCAATACGGAACTGTACATAATGACCTTCGATAGCAAGTCGCTACTACAGTCTCAGCTTCAGTGGCTAGCCCTTATGGCTCAGGGGTAGAGCGTCTGGCTCTGAAAGCGAAAGGTCCTGGGATTACAATCTGATTCAAATTCAAATATGATTTGAAGTACCTAAAACATCATTGCATTTAACGATAATCATTTGGTCTAGTAATCAATTTATATATCAGCTGAAAAGATCTTATTGAAATAATTCAAGGGGCAGAACTAAATTGTCATTCTATTTGAAGTCACAACCTTCTAGAATGGCATTTGACTTTCACTCAACATCCGATTTACTGAGAAAGTCGGAACTTAAAGCCTGGCTAAAAATACCCGTGATCTGCAAAGCCCAGATGGTGCGGAAGTAAATCTAATGCAATAATTTTATTAAAGAACTTAATTCCATTCCACAAATTATCATTGAAAGTATATAATTTGACCAGATTAGTTTTAAATTGAAGTATCAAACATGTATTTATAATTTATTTACAAGGACTTAATGTCTGTACATAATAATACTAGTTGTAATAAGAGACTGGGAAAGCTGGAATTCTGCAAGTTTGAAAAAGTCCGGACTTTGGACCAATTCAATTATCTTCATTTGCAGAGACACAGGGACAATTTATATATCAGCCTGAAAAGATGTCAGACCCTTTTCTCAGAATCTGGGATGTAAACATTTCAAGTAGCCTTGGAACTATTACCTTCAAAAATCCATATAAATAGGCACTGCCATTGGGTGGACCAGTGACATAGTCTAGTACTGCAGTAGAAGGTGCATCAACACGTTTGAAACCACGCGGCAAGAGGACAAGATTTGTATCAACAATTTCAGCAGATTGTTTTTGGTAAGTTCCTAAATCGTTAATTTTCATTTCGGCTAACTATTGAGAATTGCAGTTCTCATTTTTGAGAGTTTGGGATTATTTCTATTATACAATTAGCTTGAGCAATACAAATGAAACTTTTTAAATAATTTTAATTGCCTTCATCTAAGATTTTGAGGTTATTATTTAACCTTATCTTAGCATTTTCAAATCTACTAAGAATTGGGAAGATAGCATATAAGGCCTTTAATTGTATAATTTGTTACAGAGACACCAATTGCAATGAATCCAACTGTGTTGTTAGCAGCTGCTTTTTTGATATCCATATATGGGCATTCAGAAGCTGGCGTAATAAAAGGCGATGACGTCAACTCAAGCATATCTGAGAGAGCAAAACGTTCAGTTTTAAGCATTGTAAGTTGCACTCATTTGAAATGCTTCCATTGTTTAAATTGATCATGTATCATTGATCACAAAAGTGTCTGAAAAATATGTAGTTTAAAAGAGTGTCGTAACAATTATGACCTGAATTTTTTCAAATAACTTTTTGAATGAAAACGTAGGCTAATGTAGGCCTGCTCAATTCAGAAATATATTGCAGCGTTTCAAATAAATGTGATCAGTGGTTCAGAGATTGTGTACAAGGGATGTTTCAGCTATTCGGAATCTGAAAGTGAGCTTTACAGGGAAAGTGAAAGTCAGATTTCAGGGGTCATGTCATAAGTTCAGTT